TTCTTATACACTCTCCACTCCAAAGTGAATCCTAGAATTGTGATATAAAGTAAATAAAGCCTGTATCATCTAAAGTGCACGAGTCGCAGTCATTTCATGTAACTTTGGACAAAAAAAAGGGCATTTCAAGAAATATTTGAACATTTACATAGCAGCACGTCAGAGCTTGTATCTGCAATCTTCCCTTGAGGTAACAGAAAACTTTAAGAGAGAGAGGGATGACCGAAAGAGAAAGAGGAAATCTGAGACTGATGTGCCGCCAAAATGAGAGGCAAATTTGAGTTTTTCCACATAATAGCTGCTTGTGTGTCACTAGAAAAATGTGCCCCGCGGAGTGGGTGAGCTGGAAGTCTTCAGCACTGACACACTGACAGCACTGGGCTGCGGCCTGCTGCACAGCTTGTTGCTGCCATCAAATAAAGTGTTCGATTAGTGTTCATATAGTCTCTTGAGGCAGATAATGCCTGTTTGTGTTTGGATTTTGAGTTAGCATTATTTCTGGTAGTGATTAGGTGCTGTAGCTGGATTGTCAGGAGGTACAGCATCTGAATATACAAACGTGGTTGTGTGGTCATGTGGTTATTTGAGGTGTAGCTAAAGCCACTAATGCAGGCTCTTTTAACCATTTCATTTTATTATACGCTGTGTAATTAAATCAAAAATAAGGTTCTTTATTGTTTAAACCTGTGTCTACAGTGATGCCCTCACCACAATACTTTGACGGACACGCCCTGGTGGCATGGAGCGATCACGATATCACTGTAGCTGTGCCCTGGTACATCGGCTTGATGTTCCGAACTAGACAGAGCAGCACCACTGCCACCTTGATGCAGGCCAATGCTGGCTCTGCTTCCCAAATCAACTTGCAAGTGAGTAAACAGCTAGGAATGAACATGTTCTGTTTATTTAAATAGATTTTTTGTTGTTGGATCAGTGCATTTTTAATAATGAGTAGGTGCGATTTGTTTATTTTTTTTTCATGTACTTTTTTATACGAATTTTGTTGGGTTTTGCAGTTTCCACACACTTCTCCTCCTCCAACTGTCCAGCTCTTGTTTTCCAGTTGTAGTGGATATTTCTATGGTGTTTCTCTGCTTATTTTCCTGTAGGTGGTGAACAGGCAGGTGCAGATGGAGGTGCTGCTGGGGGAGCAGCGTGTGGCGCTGCTCGAGTTCCCCGAGGTCAGAGTGAATGACGGAGAGTGGCACCACCTTCTCGTGGAGATCACCAGCAGCAAAGAAGGCAAAGACACCAAGTACATGGCCCAAGTGTCTCTCGATTATGACATGTTTAAGGTGTGTGATGGTCTGAACCTTTTTACACCTCAGCATATGCATTGTATTTTAAATAAGGTAAATATAACTATTGGGCCACCTGTTAATTTAGACAGAAATCTAGATAAGTGTCAACCAGTAGAACTTTTTACATGCTGTTTTTTTCACTGATTAACCAAACTACAAAGGCTACTGAAGCAAATTATTGCAAAACTGCTGCACATCTGGTAGTGATGTGGTAAGTGGGTGCTTTGACTGATTTAAGGCTGCTCTTTGCTTTCATATTGCTGTGCAAATGTTGATGAAAGAATCTGTGATCAGATTTTCATATGTATTTATGACATGGTGACACACAGCCACATGGCACCAAAGATTACAGCAATTTTAACTATGTGCCCCCTCACACCAATGGATTTTCCTTTTTTTTCCCCGATTCGGTCACCTGCCACTTCCCACCCACCAGCCAGCTCTCCCCATCATACATCAACTACCAACCAGGGAGGATGAAGTCTAACACATGCTTCCTCAGAGACCCTTAAAGCTAGCCAACTGCATGTTTTCAAACTGCTGTTCAACATGCTGCATCACAGGGCAGTATAACACACTTGAAGGAATGAGCTGTCTGTCCTCTTCTGCATACATGAGCTAACAGATGCCCATGATTGGCTAGTGCCATCCCTCCCACACACAGAGAGCACAGCCGATTTTGCTTTTGTGGCTCCCGGCTACGGATGGCTGTGGCATCGTCCGTATTCGAAATCACAATCTCCTGATGATAGGGCAAACACTTTTATGTTGTGCCATAATTTTTGTCCCAAATTTAAGTGAGATAAAATTTTGGCTATAGCTGCTGCCCCTTTGTTCAGTTTTTTTTTATGGCTGTAGTTCCTAAAGCCTATGACAGGCAATAATAAAATGTTACAGTAGTGCAGGTAGTTATAGAGAGTACTATAAATGGGTATTGCATGCTCTGTGATGTTCTGCAGAGGTCAGTGGAAATCGGAAACGAGCTCCCTGGACTGAAGATAAGGAGTCTGTACATTGGGGGCCTTCAGGGTGAAAACAACAATGTCCTGCATGGCTTTCAGGGCTGCATACAGGTAAACATAGAAAAGATACTTTTAACCATGATTTGTTAAAGCCATTACATAGTGATATGGGTTACCTGTTGTTTGTAGTTTGTTTTTCTGACCTAGTGTCTACTGATCATTCTCTTACGCTCAAAAAGGGTCAATGCAGCACGGAAATCTTATTGTATCTGTGTGTGTGTGTGTGTGTGTGTGTGTGTGTGTCACAGGGTGTGAGGATGGGAGAGACCTCAACCAACACCGGCAACATCAACATGCAGCAAGGTTTGAAGATCCGTGTAGAGGAGGGCTGTGACCTGGCCGACCCCTGCGACTCCAACATCTGCCCTGAGAACAGCCACTGCATGGACGAGTGGAGTGCTCACACCTGTGTGTGTGACCCAGGTGAGCTGATTATACACACCTATATCTGAATATACACATCTACAACACCTACATTTACTTTTACAGCATTTAGCAGACACTCCTATCCAGAAAGACATATAAAATTGCATTAAAGGCTCGTCATGCTAGTAGTAAAAGGCTATAGTCTAAGAATACCTAATACCTAATACGCTAAAGCCCTGTTACATAAGAGATAATGTGAGAGTTAATACAACAAAGAACAATACAAGTTGTTTTTTTTAATAAGCTATGTAGATTGTTGTGCATAACTAAACTAAGGGACAGATCATTACTAATCTTTAGAATTGAAAGTGTTTCAGAATTTGGGAATTTTGAATGACTTTTATTTTCCCAGTAAAGAAGAGTGCCATCTCTCTCTCTCTCTCTCTCTCTCTCTCTCTCTCTCTCTGTCTGTGTCTCCAGGCTTTTTCGGGAAAGAGTGCATGCACGCTTGCACGCTGAACCCGTGTGAGCACGTGTCCGCCTGTATGCGGAAGCCCAGCTCGTCTCATGGCTACACATGCGAGTGCAGTCAGAACTACTACGGCCAGTACTGTGAGAACAAGTAAGAATAAAAGGATAGGCTGATTAATAGGATAAATGATTTCTCCTCTCGCTGACCTCACACTGACTCACTTCTTGTTATCAAGCCTGCACAGCCACTTTCAGTGTGAAACTTCCAGTGCCTGCCAACTCATGTGAGTGCAGAATGACTACTTAGATTAATTTGTTTAATCAAGCTACAATCACACAGTTTAGCAGATTCCAAATTTCAGTCACTAGGCTCTTGTCAGTGCTTGCTGAAAATGCATACCTGATACCTGTAAGGCACATCAAGTCACTGAATATTGAGTGTATTCTAGTTTGTACATTTTACAACCGTGTATGTTGGTTCATCTGACATTATCAGAAACTGCATGCATTTGTAGGGCTGGCAGCATGACATAGTGTTTTCCTGCATTCATATTGAAAAGAGGTGTCATTTACAACTTAGTGGAAATCCTCCTGCGGCCAGTACTGGAAGTGTGTGTGTGTTAATGATCCTGTGTGTCATTGTCCTGGCTCTTCTCCACACAGCAAAGTACAGTAAAACACGCCTGTACAAGCTACCCTATTGTTCTCCATATTCTCCGATTTTTAAGCAGCATGACTCCCAGACCTACAATCAACTCCATAATTATTGGCATCCCTTAGGGGTTGGGAGGGTGTTAACTGTCTATGTATTTTTACATCACTTACCTGAATTGTGTGGGTCAACATCCATTTGTTTCTTTTGTGTTAAAAGTTCTTTGTTTTTCTCCATGGTGATAGATGACAGAGATTTTACAAGTTTGCTACATCATATTTCTACCCCAGCAAAAATGGTAAAAGGTAACTACAGAGTTGCCGGAGGCTGAAAGCATTATTTAAAGGATGGCAATTTGCTTGCATTTACACTATATTACCAAAAGTATTCGGTCACCTGCCTTGACTCACATATGAGTTCCTAACCCATAGGGTTAAATATGATGTCGGTCCACCTTTTGCAGCTATTACAGCTTCAACTCTTCTGGGAAGGCTGTCCACAAGGTTGAGGAGTGTGTTTATAGGAATTTTTGACCATTCTTCCAAAAGCGCATTGGTGAGGTCACACACTGATGTTGGTCGAGAAGGCCTGGCTCTCAGTCTCCGCTCTAATTCATCCCAAAGGTGTTCTATCGG